TTTTATTTTTGCATGTTATCACTGTGCCCGTTTTTTGCTTTTATTCTTTGTTCCGCAAAGTGCGCTCTTTTAGTTCATAGTTATGTGACAATATATATATATATATATATCGTCACAAATAGAACTGCCCGGTAAACCGTAGGCAGAGAGAGAGAAGAGGACAACAAACGAGGGGCTGTGACAAACTGTTTCGTCGGAGTTTATATATATATATTCAAGGAAAATTGAGCAATAGGGATATGACAGAGTTCCCGATTGCTGTTTTCGTTGTAATCATTTATGACTTGCTGGTGGAATAGGAACCGGACTGACGCTCCCCAGAATGGACGTGGAGCCAGGACCATAAGGCCCTGTTTTTTTTGGGAAAAAAAATAAAAAATTCCGATTGCAAAATCACACTGAAAGCCAGATAGTCGAAAGCTGTCCAGAAGTGCACCGATGTCACACCAAAGGAGAACCAAAGCAGGGAACTCAATTGTCAATGAAAGCATGCTCTCGCCCTCGCCCTCACCAACAATGTTATCGAAGCTCTTCCTCCTGATGGCGCTCAGCGCGCAGACAATGAACCTACAGCTACTATGCTATCCTACTCAAATGACAAAGCAACCATTTGACGTCAGCAGCAGCAACCGAAGTATGTGCAGATGTCTCTCATGCAGGCCTCCACGATGACCAGGTACGTGCTCTCACATCACCTCTCCACTCGCCCTGTCTATACTCACCCTCGTCTCTCCCACTTCTCTCCAAATTCATGAAGACCGCCACCTTACCCCGCTGGCACTACGAAGCCCAAGCCCAAGCCCAGCTATGGAGGCTGGGCTACGGCGCTGCTTTCGCGCAGCGCCCTTGCTTCATCCGACGCCCACGCGCGCCCAGGCACCAGCACTAGCTTAGCTGGCAGGCGCGAACGATCGCTCAAGCAGCGCTGCAGCTTGCACAGCCAAGTGCCCCAATACCTCGTCCGTAGCCTGGCTGTTTCCTAAATGGAAAGTGGCCAGGCAAGATGGCTGCCTGGACTGGCCCGCTCATGTGCCCCGTAGCTTCACTTTGGGGCAAAGTGTCTGCGCCCAGGCCCTTTCAGACAGTTGCCTGCCCCCGCAGCAGTTAGGTGGGCCCAACCACCCAGCGCCCGGCGAAGTGTTCCCTGCTCCCTGATTGGCCGGGAGACCAGCTTCCAAGGACTGTCAATTTTTGCAATTTTCAGGCCTCTTTTGAGATGCAGGGCCCACCTTCCCTTGGGGTGGGCACGATGCTTACAGCGAGGGCCCAATACTGGCATGCCAAGGGCTCGTACCCTAGCCTCCTGATGAGTCGGTGAAACTCCGACGAAACAGTTTGTCACACAGCCCCACATTTTCTTGTCCTCTTCTCCCACTCTACCTACGGTTTACCGGGCAGCTCTGTTTGACGATATATAGTAAATCGCAAGGAAATGAGCAATGCGAATTGGCGAGGTCCGGAATCCTCACAGGAGGGGGTCCTAAAGGATGATGATGTGCTGTGCTCGTTCGCTGGTCCCTTTCTCCCTGCATCCCTGTGCGCTATGAGGAGGAGGAATTTCATTTGTGATGAAATGCATACTGCCAAGGCTCTGCAGCATCCATCAGTATAAGCAATCTGAAATAAGCGTGCGTTCTTCGTTTTGTATGTTCGTTTTTTGTTGATGGATGCGTAAGTAAGAAGTCGAAGGCTGCTGCTTCACAAGCGGTGTGATGGTGCCGGCATCAGATGCTTCTGAGGGCATTCATTTTGGTCCGAAGGGGCCCTTCCGCTGCCCAAAACATTGGGCCTGATAACTTACCCTATGATTGGCTGTTTTTCATCTTGTTATTTTAATTTATTTATCATTTTTATGGTTTTTTTTTTTTTTTTTTTTTTTTTTTGTATGGTGACTATGATCTCATTATTGGTAGGAAGCAGGGATTGCTGGGCCGTGCTTTTTCCATTTGCTCGCCGTGAAATGGCGTGATGGGATGTAATCGTGTAGCCCCAAGTTTTCCAACTCGCTAACGACACTAAGGTTGACCCCGTCTGCAGAAATCTGACCTGGCTGTAATCATGTTATTTTGTGTGTTCCGCTTCGCTGCTCTGTTTTTTTTCTCTCTGCATGAAAAAAAAGGTATCATGTCATCAAAATGTTTACTCCTTTTGGAAAGATCAAGAGGGAGGAATACATGTGGCACACACATGGACCGAGACGGGGAGAGCCACGCGGATTCGCGTTCGTGGAGTTCTCAAAACGAGAGGTGGGCGGGCCGGTGGGTGCGTGTCTTGTTTCTGGAGTCGATGAAACTAACTCTATTTCGATGTATTTTCTTGGCTGGATGAGAAAAAAACAAATTCATATATATCGTTATTTTTTTTGTCGAACTCTTTTTCTTTTCTGTTTCTTTGCTCAATTTTGATTTAATCTGTTCGGAGGAGTGGTGTCTTGCATGTGA